TGTTTAGAATTTACCAAAAATAGAGAGCCCCAAAAGAGGAAAAGGCAACCTCTTGACCCATTTAAACAGCCATTTCCCAGGAAGAACTTTCTACCAAACAATGTCACAAAAAGAAAAGCTAATAGCTTTGACAATATAATAATATAAAGCTTTGATACATTCAAAGCCTCCAAAAGCAAAAATTAAGCAACACATATATGCAACAGATACCAAAATGACAACATACAGGGAGCTCATCAAATGACTTTTAAATAAATCCATCAAAACCTTGTTAGGAAAACAGGCAAAGAAAACAGATAATCAACCAAGAAAGTTTTAAATGGCTTAATAAGTACGAACATTTGCATTTCATTAATAATCATATAAATTATAATTTTGAAATACCATTATTTCCCTTTCAGATAATGAGACTGGCTTTGTTGGTGTTACCATAAGCTGGTGTAGACCATAACACCAGCCCTCTCAAACCTGGGCTGAGGCTGGCATATAAGTCAGAGGCAACTCTTTTGGAAACATTTTGGTAACACATATCAAGGCTATTTTACTACAAAATGTAAATGTCTTGAAATTTTCTCTGAGGAAACATTGAGAAATTCAGACCAAAAAATTATGTACAAAGATGATTGATAAAGGGGGTATTGAATAGTAAAACATGGAAGCCCAGATATTCTACAATAGGTGAATAAATGCATTATGATATGTCTGTATGATCATAGGACACAGTCATTTAAAATGGTCTTTTCGAAGAGAGTTTATGCAAAGGAAAAGAAACAAAAGTGAAAAAAGTAGTCCGCGGCCGGGCGTGGTGGCTCACGCCTATAATCCCAGCACTTTGGGAGGCCGAGGCAGGTGGATCATGAGGTCAGGAGATCGAGACCATCCTGGCTAACACGGTGAAACCCTGTCTCTACTAAAAATACAAAAAATTAGCTGGGTGTGGTGGCGGGTGCCTGTAGTCCCAGCTACTCGAGAGGCTGAGGCAGGAGAATGGTGTGAACCCAGGAGGCGGAGCTTGCAGTGAGTGGAGATCTCCCACTGCACTCCAACCTGGGCAACAGAGCAAGACTCTGTCTCAAAAAAAAAAAAAAAAAAAAAAAAGGAGGCTGCAAAGAGTACGAGCCCAGTCTTAGAAAGCATGTGTAGATGAATGAATGACATAGCCACATAGAAACATAATGGCCATCAACCACACCCATCTGTGGCAGGGAGAGTAAGACCCTGACACCATCCCCTGCTCTCCTGAGGATGGTAGGGATACCACGAGCCCATTTAATGTTTCAGAGGGTAGAGGTGAGGCTGGGAACCTGGGAGGAGCCTGGCAAAAGGTTGACAGGGAGAGCGCAGGAGCGCAGGATGTTTGGGTTCACCAATGACAGTGGCCATGGTCCCATGGTAGGTCAGTAGCCCAGAAAGTATCAGAGACCATGGATTAAGAATCAGACCACTGTGCACTTGGGAGGCTGAGGCAGGAGAATGGCGTGAACCCGGGAGGCGGAGCTTGAACCCAGGAGCTGGAGCTTGCAATGAGCCAAGATCGTGCCACTGCACTCCAGCCTGGGCAACAGAGCAAGACTCTGTCATAAAAAAAAAAAAAGAGGAAAAATAGAATCAGACAACTGTGAGGGGTGCATTCCAAGTGGCCAGGAGCTGTTGGGAGCCTGACCACTGAGCCCAGTGCCTTGGCAGAGGGGATGTCATGCGTGGGCAGCTCCGTTCTGGGAAAGAAAGCTTCTCCCTGCCTGAACGTCCAGGCCTCTTCCACCAACCATCTGGCCGTTCCACAGTCTCCTCCACCCAGGACATGGGAACCTTGGGGTGGGGATAGGAGGCACTCTCATTCAGTCCTCGGGGACCAGCCTGTGAACACTAGGGCACCCCAAGCTGGTCACCAAGGGAAGTGGACCTGTCTCTCCAAGATGTTAAAAAAAAAAAAAAGGACCAAAATATAGTTTACAATAGGCGACAGGATTAAAAGTGATGTTAATTGTCTATGCTTTTCTGTATTTTCTTAATTGTCTATATCAAGCATGTATTACTTCTATAATTGGAACAAACAATAAGGGCTACTTTTGAAATAATATACATGCTTTTATCTCATACCAAGAAACAGTGTCTTCTGAATTATTCCAAGCCGACTTTTTTTTAAAATATGGAGTCTTGCTCTGTCGTTTAGGCTGGATTGCAGTGGCACCATGTCAGCTCACTGCAACCTTCGCCTCCTGAGTTCAAGTGATTCTCCCACCTCAGCCTCTGCAGTAGCTGGATTACAGGCGCCTGCCACCACGTCCGGCTATTTTTTTTTTTGTATTTTTAGTAGAGATGGGGTTTCACCACACTGGCCAGGCTGGTCTCGAATTCCTGACCAAAAGTCCTGCCTCGGCCTCCCAAAGCCGATGTTTTTGGGATTACACGGGTGAGCCACCACACCCGGCCTTCCAAGCTGATTTTTCTGCTGGCAGCTCACAAGGCCCCAGGGTTCCAGCTCCCTCCTTGGAGCTCACGTCAGCCCACGTGGCAGCTTGCAGCCCCTCTGCCCTCCTCTCTGGCCTGTCAGTACCATCTGAAAAAGCAAGCTCTCTAAAGCCATGTGAGGCGAAGGCACAGGACATCTCTACTCAGAGGGCTTGCTTGAGGTCCCCCTAACCTCACAGAGGCCTGTCCCCAAGGTCCCAGGCTGAGGCAGGCTCAGCATTCTGAGAGCCTGACTTCCCCAGGGGGAGGGCTGCCAGGTGGAGGAAGTCCAGGGTGTTCGTGCTTGTCTCATGCTCTCCAGAGGGGGCCAGATGCTGACCACTGAGGCGGCGGGGCTAGGCCCAAAGTCACCACTAAACCAGCACCTGTCTCTCCATCTCTTCCATCCGGGCCTCAAACTCTCTCTCCTTTCTGCTCCCTCTTCAGCCTTAGCCTTGCCATGGGGGCCACAGAATGGACCACTAGCCCTGCTTTGCATGGATGGGTACATAGATTTGTCAGCAATGAGTACATCCCCAGTCTGAACCTTCACTTCTCAGGACAGCCCATCCCAAGTTCAGCCACTCCTCGTGGTCACTACCAGGGCCTTCACCGTCCAACACATCCTCATCTGAGCGCCCTGCAGGGTGCCAATGTCTCTCTGAAACTGTGCTGTTAGGGGGCTCTGACATGGGCAAGACCTCCAACCTCCCACACTCTTGACACTAAACCTCTATGGAACATGACCTAGAAGCTGAGCTTTCGTGGGGCTCCTCACATGTTCCCTGTCAATGAGCTCTGCTCCCCTGCATGCTGGGTAGGCACTGCTACAGGCTGCTGGTGAAGAAATCAGACCTGGCATTGGTTGACTCTGAAAATCGACTGAGGAACGAGATCCCCATAAGCGGCAGCTAGTCGCTAAGGCTGGACAACTTCCAAGGGTGAGGATGGCCTGTGTTAGCTCTAAGGTCTCTTGCAGATCTGAAAACACCAAGTTCTAGGGTGATAAGCACGCCCAACCCTGAGATTCAGAGGATAGAGAATTCTAAGTGGCTCAAATCCTAAGGTAGTGAGGCATGGACCGGACCATGCCCTTCCTGAACAGGGCTGCTTCCAGAACTGGAGGACTTGCAGCTGTGGGACCCAGACTCCTCACAGCCGGGGGAGGGAGACTCCTCACAGCCGGGGGAGGGGGACTCCTCACAGCCGGGGAAGGGAGACTCCTCACAGCCGGGGAAGG